GTGGCCTGGGGGTCAATTCCTCCCANNGGGCAAAGAAACATGTCACAAAGGAAAAAACAAGAAATCTCCAGAAAAGGAACTAAATGAAATGGAGCCAAGCAAGGCACTAGATACAGAGTTCAGAATTATGGTTATAAGGATACTCAAGGATATTAGTAAGACTATTAAGAAAAGTGAGACCATTGATGACATAATAAAGTTCCAATTTGAAAAGAAGGCTACACGAACAGAAATAAAGAATAATTTCCAGGGAATCAACAGTAGAGTAGAGGACACTGAGAATCAGATCAGCAATTTGGAACATGAGGAAACAAAAAACACCTAACCAGAAGAGCAAAAAGAAAAAAGAATCCAGAAATATGAAGATAGTGTGAGGCATCTCTGGGACAACTTCAAGTGTCTCAACATTTGCATTGTGGGGATGCCAGAAGGAGAAGAGAGCAAGAAAGTGAAAACCTATTTGAAAAAATAAACAGAAAACTTCCCCTACCTGGTGAAAGAAATAAGACTTACCAGCCCAGGAGGCACAGAGAGTCCCAAACAAGACCAACCCAGAGAAGCCCACAGCAAGATACATCATAATTAAAATGCCAAAGATTGCCTGGCTGGGCTTGGCTCAGCGGTTGAGTGGCGACCTAGGGTCCAGGCGATCGAGGTTCAATTCCTGGTCAGGGCACATGCCTGGGTTGCGGGCTCGATCCCCAGTCGGGGGCGTGCAGGAGGCAGCCGATCAGTGACTCTCTCATCATTGATGTTTCTATTTCTCTTTCTCTCTCCCTCTCCTTTCCTCTCTGAAATCAGTAAGGATATATTTTTTTTAAAAAAGAATCTTATAAAAAGAAAAAGAAAAAAAGCCAAAGGTAAAAGACAGAGAGAGAATGTTAAAAGCATCAAGAGAAAAGCAGTTAGTTACCTACAAGGGAGCACCCATACGACTGTCAGCTGATTTCTCAACAGAAACTCTGCAGGCCAGAAGGGAGTGGCAAGAAATATTCAAAGTGATGAAAAACAAGAACCTACAACCAAGATCGCTCTACCCAGCAAAGGTCAAATCTGAAGGTCAGATAAAGAGCTTCACAGATAAGAAAAAGCTAACGGCGTTCATCACCACCAGACCAGCACTACAGGAAATGTTGAAGGGTCTTCTTTAAGAAGCAGCTAATGAACAAAAGAATCTGACAAACTAAATAGATCCAGAGACATTGACTCAGGCAACAGATGATATTTCAGAGGGAAGAGGGAAGGGGGGTGGAGGGTGGGAAGAGATTAACCAAAGAAGTTATATGCATATATGCATAACCCATGGACAGTCAATAACGGGGTGAAGGCCTGGGGAGGGGGTGGGAGCGAGGTGGAGGGGGTCAATTGGGGGGAGAAAATGGGACACTTGTAATACTTGCAACAATAAAGATAAAAAAAGAAAAAAGAAAAAAAGAAATGGGTTCCAGCAGGAGCGCAGAACTCTTTCGACTCCTGTCCCAGAGGAGAGTGGGCCAAGGGAAGCCAGGAATCCTGGGTCACAGCTGCGCCTTCTCCTGCTGAGGGCAGCCTGAGGAAGGGCAGAGGTGGAGTGTCTAGGGGAAGAGGAACAGGTGAAGAAGGGGGGAGGTGGGCCAGGGCTGACCTGGCAGCAAGGGTACTCACAGTTGCTAGGCAGGAGACACAGCCCCAGGTTATCAGGGCTTCCCTAGAGTGTGTGCGGGTAGGGATCCCCTGAGCCAGGGCCCCAAGGATGAAGCTGGAGGTCAGGGCTGGGAGGCACTGGCCCACAGGGAACTCCCTCTCCAAACACCCACCTGGGAGCCTCCAGCAGGCACTGCACAACCAGTTCTCAGACCCCTCCCCCCTGAACCCATCATGCAAGCTGGAAACTGTTTTGAGGTGCCGGGCTGGTGTGCCTCCCCCAGGAGCCCTGTCAGTGACCAGGGCCTCCAGCCAATTCAGGATGAAGTCACAGCCCTGATGGTTAGTGCCCACCCCCCCAGCTCAGAAGTGGTTAGAGAGGAGGCCAGGTGGCCGAGGCCAGAGAGCAGAACTATGCAGATGCAGCACAGGGGCTGCAGAGAGAGGCCCTACCATCTGGCTCCTCAACATAGGGCTTGGGTTTCTTTCTCAACTTGGACTTCTTCTTAGTATTCCTTTCCAGGAGTTCCTTCATGTGCTGTGTCACTGGGGAGCAAACAGAGCCATGAGGACCACAAACACAAAGGGGAGCGAGTGCCCACTGCTGGGGCTGGGCCTGGTTGGTGGGGAAGGTGCTGCACCCCTGCTGGATTCTTCAGGGGACGCAGGGCCACCAGCCAACACCCAGCTGGGGAATGTGAGGACCCCAGCCTAGGAGTGCTGGTATGAGGCAAGTGCCTGGTAAGTGGCTGCTTCCTGCCCACACTCAGGACAGGGTGTGTACCATACAGATGTGTGGTTGCAAGTGTGAGCTACCTGGGCTGTGTGGTTGTGCAGGCACCAGGGGCCCTCTTGGCACCATGGGGCAGTGCAGGAAGGTGTGGGGAGGGGACAGTCAGCTTATGACCCTCTGGCACAGCACAAAAAGGCAGGGTGCACCCCAGGCCTGCTCCTGGAGGGTCCCGGGCTGCCTTCTCAGGCTGCTCTGGGCACTTCTTCCACTCTGTACAAAATACCTGCAGTTGAAGTGGACCCTTCGCTCCCTGTCAGGGTCCATCCGCACTCTCTGGAAAGTCAATGCACGTGCTACACGAAGGGTGGGAGGTAGGCTCCCTTCCGATGGTAGGTGATTACGTCCTGTCTAATCATTTCTTATATCGGGATGGAAATACAGACATAGGTTTTACACGTTGGGTTATTGTTGCTCAAACTGCTCCAGCTTTGGGCATTGGGAGCTCTTTCCATGGCTCTTATGCCCTGTGATACACCCGTCACCTACCCTTGCCCTCGCTTTGGCACCTTCTACATTTCCTGTACCAGGCCTAGAATCAGCTGTTTCTCCAAGGGGCTCTGATTTGTTTTAACAGAAAACGGTATTAGAAACCATGATCTGGGTGTCAGGTGTGCTCACTGCTATTGGGGATGCCACTGCTTCTGGGTGCTCCTGGCTGACATTCAAGGAAAGACGTGTGTGCTGGCCCTGTATACAATCATCCATAAATATTTCCATACTGACGCCTCCACCTCGGACCCATCACCAGACTGATCCTCTAGTCTCCTCTCCTTGCTCGTCTGTAACTGGTTTATCTTTTCATTCTCTCAACAGGGTCTTTTGAAAAGCAGATTTAATTTTTATGAAGTCTAATTTATCAATATATTTCTCTTATAGGTATTGTTTTGTCATATATAAAAACCTTTGCCTAACTCAAGGAAACAAAGATTTTTTCCTATGTTTTGTTCTAGGAGTTTTATAGTTTTAAGTTTTATACTTTGGTTTGTGATCCACTGTGAGTTAATTTTTGCCTATTGCACAGAGTATGGGTTGAAGCTCATCCTCTTTGCATCTGGGATACAACTGCCCCAGCACCACTTGACAAAACACTGTCCCTTCCTCACTGTGCCTGGGTCTACTTTTGGACTCTAGGGTGGCCCCCTGGCCCACTGTCTACCTTTAGCCAATACCACACTCTCCCAATTACTGCAGCTTTAAATAAGTCTTGAAGTCAAGTAATGTCAGTCCTCCAATTTCATTTTTTTAAAAAGGTATTTTGGCTATTCTATTACATTTTCTATGAATTTTAGAAATGCCTGTTAATTTGTAAGTTAAAAACCCACTATTAAGCCTTAGATTAGGATTGAATCTATAGAACAATCTGGGTAGAAGTGACATCTTAACAACATTGAGTCTTCTGATTCATAAACATGGTACATGTCTCCATTAAATTAGGTCTTCTTGACTTTCAGCAATGTTTTGTAGTTTCAGCATAAAAGTGTTATACATCTTTCGTAGATTTATCCTTAAGTTTATCATATTTTTAACGCTATTGCAAATATTTTAAAACACCCATTTCCAATAGTTTGTTGCTAATAAATAGAAACATGATTTTTATATCCTGCAATCTTGCTAAACTCACTTGTTAGTTCCAACAGTATTTAAAATACATATCTTTATTGATTTCAGAGAGAGGAAGAGAGAGGGCGAGAGAGAAAGAAACATCAATGATGAGAGAGTCATTGACAGGCTGCCTCCTGCACGTCCACTACTGGGGATCAAGCCCACAACCTGGGCATGTGCCCTGACCGGTAATCAAACTGCAATCTCCTGGATCCTAGGTTGATGCTCAACTGCTGAGCCACACCAGCCAGGAAGTTCTAATAGTATTTTTATACATCTCACAGGATTTTGTACATAGAAAACTGTTGTCGCCCGGCTGGGCGTGGCTCAGCGGTTGAGCATCGACCTAGGGTCCAGGAGATTGGGGTTCGATTCCCGGTCAGGGCACACACCCGGGTGGTCGACTCCATCCCCAGCAGGGGGCAACCGATCAGTGACTCTCATCATTGATGTTTCTCTCTCTCCCTCTCCTTTCCTTTCTCTGAAATCAATAAAGACATATTAAAAAAAAAATTGTTGTCTGCGAATAAAGACAACTGCACACTTCCTTTCCCATCTGGATGCCTTTTGTGTCTTTCTCCTGACTCTACCCTGGCCAGGCCCAGAAGTGGTGAGGGGAGGTCCTTGCTTTGGTCTTGATCTTAGGGAGAAAGCAGCCAGTCTTTTACCTTTCATAGAATGCTGGCTAGGAAATTCTTTCCTAATTGTGGTAAAATATAGATGTAAAAATATAGCCACTGAAACATTCTAAGTGTGCAATTCAGTGGCATTAAGAATATTCCCAATGTTGTGCCCTCACCATAGCTCTTCCAACCCCTTCATCACCACAGACAGAAACCCTGCTCCCACTAAGCAATAACTCTTCATTCCCCTCCCCCAGGTCCTGGCAACCTCTAATTTACTTTCTGTCCCTATTAATTTGCCTATTTTATAGAAGTTGAATCATAAATTTGCCCTTTTATGTCTGGTTTCTTTCACTTAGCATAATTTTTTAAGGTTCATCCACGCTGTAGTACGTATCAGAACTTCCTACCTTTGAAATACCAGAAGTCATACCTCTCGAAGGGGGCATTAACCCTCAAGAGAGCACATAATCTTGATAACTTGCCTGTAATACAATCCCTGCCTTGCTTTCTCCCACCTCCATGGAATCTTCCTTACTTCCTTCCTTAATCTCAAATGCATAAAATAAACTGCAAAACTGGCATGCTCCGGAGCATCTGAAATCTTGCTCCCCGGCATGTCATTAGTTTGGCTCAAGTAAAGTCTTATAAAAATTCAAAAGAAAAAAGAGAACTTCCCTTTTATGGCTGAAAACTACTGCACTGTATGGACAGAGCACACTGTTTATCCCTCCATGTGCTGATGGGCACTGAGTGGGCTCCACTTCTCCGCCATGGTGCACAGTGCTGTGAACATGTATCTGCAAGTATGTGTTCTAGCCCTGCTTCCCATTCTCTTAGGTGCTGTAGTTTTTACAGATCCTTTCATCAGATAGAGGTTCCCTTCTATTCCTAGTTTGTTTTGTTTCTGTCAGAAATGCAATATTGGATTTTGTCAAATGCCTTTTCTACATTTATTGAAATGGGCATATGGTTTTCCTTTCTCTCTGTTGAGTGAAAAGTTACTGATTGATTTTTGAATGTTAAACCAACCTCTGATTCAATGAATAAGTCCCGCATGTTCAAGATACACACCCTTCCCATACACTGTTGGATTCACTTTGCTAAAATATTGTATATCTTTATTGATTTCAGAGAGAGGAAAGGAGAGGGAGAGAGAGATAGAAACACCAATCATGAGAGTCATTGGAGATCGAGCCCTCAACCCGGGCATGTGCCCTGACTGGGAATCGAACCTTGACCTTCTGGATCTAGGTCGACACTCAACAGCTGAGCCACGCCCAGCCAGGCTGTTCACAATTTTTGCTGTAGGTTCATGAGGGATACGGTCTGTGCTTTTCTTTCCTGTAATGTCCTTTCCTAATTTTGATGTAGAATGAATTGGGAAATATTCCTCCACTTCAACTTTCTAGATGAGTTTGCAAAGAATTGCTATACAAACAATAAAATGTTTGGCAGAATTCACCAGTGAAGCCATTTGGACCTAGAATATTTTGTGGAATTTTTTAAAGTACCAATTAAGTTTCTTTAACAGACTAGAGTGTTAAAAATAATAAAAACCTTAAAGAGATTAACCAAAGAACTTATATGCATAAAAGCATAACCCATGGACACAGGCAATAGCATGGGGATGGCCTGGGGGTGGGGTGGATGCAGGACGGAGGGGATCAGTGGGGGGGGATAAGGGGACATCTGTAATACTTTCAACAATAACGAGAAATTTAAAAAAATTTCTTTAATAGATATGATTTTTCTGGTTATCTACCCCGTTTTCCTCCCTGCAGAATGCTATAGTTTGGTTATCTGTTTCTTACTGAGTGATCTTTGGTAGTTTGTGTCAAAGGAATCTGTCCATTTCCTCTAAATTGTGAAGTTTATTAACATAAAAGTTGTTCATAATATTCCCTACTATGAACATCTGTTGATTCTGTAGTGATATCATTTCCTATTCTTGATGTTGGTAATTTATGTCTTCTCTGTTTTTGTCCTGATCACTCTGGCTGGAGGTTTATCAATTCTATTGATCTTCTCAAAGAAGATCACTGATCTTTCACATTATTTTTCTGTTTTCTCTTTCACTAATTTCTACTCTGACCTTCCTTTCTTCTGCTTACTTTAGATATAATTTACCCCTTTTCTTGAAGCAGAAGCTGCGGTCACTGACTTCAGATCTTATTTCTCCAATACAGACCCTTGGTGTCAGAAATTTCCCTCCAAGAGCTGCTCTGGCACCTGGCCTGTGTGCCTCAGCAGTTGAGCAGCAAGCTATGGCCCAGGAGATCCAGGCTCATGGCCAGGCTGCAGGCTCTTGGGCTCCACACCCAGCAGGGGGCGTGCAGGAGGCAGCTGATCAACGACTCTCATCACTGATGCTTCCCTCTCTCTCCCTCCCTCCCTTTTCCCTTCCTCACTCTGAAATCAATAGACATTAAAAAAAAAAAAGAACTGCTTTGGCTGTATCCTAGATAGGCAGAATGTTTTGCTTTTTCTTTCAGTTAAAAATACTTTCTAATTTCCCTTTTGATTTTTATCCAATCCATGGGTCACTCAGTATTACAGTCTTTAGTTTCCAAATATTTGGGGGTTTTCCAGGTATCTTTGTGTTACTGATTGCTAATTTAATTCCATTGCGGTTAGAGAACACACTTTCTCTGATTTACATTCCTTAACAATTATTGACACTTGCTTTACAGCTCAGAATATGGTCTATTTTGAAAATGTGGCTGGGATTTGGGTGCAGATGCTCTGGGTCAAGAATCTACGCACCCACTCCACTGTAGCTGCTCCTTTTCCTCACAGACTTTCAACTAGTTCTTTTGTTTTCAGCTTCAAGGTCACCCCCTTTCCAAACCATTGTTAGAGGAAGGTGGCTCCACCCACTAGGGAGTTTTTAAGGGTTGGCTGCCTGCTCCAGCTCTCACTTTCCCTCCCTCTGCTTGGGGCTCGCCTTCCTTGGTCGGCCAAGTCAGTTTCCTGCAACTTGCCCACGTGCTTCTCAGCTTCCAAAACTTAGCTCTTCCTTCTCCATCTCTGCCCTTGTGGGTTTCACTATTTTATTGTGATAAATATACATAACATAAAATTTACCATTTTAAATTGTGCAGTTCAGTGGCATTAAGTACATTCACACTGCTGTGCAACCATCACCACATCCGCCTCCAGAGGTCTTCCACCCTCCCAAATGGAAACTGTCCTCATTATACAGCGACTGGCCCTCCTCCCTCCCCACCCACAGGAGCCACCATTCTACTTTCTGTCTTGATGAATCTGACTGCTCTAGGGGCCTCAAATGAGTGGAATCAGACGGCATTTGGTCTCCTGTGACTGGCTTCTTTCACTCAGCATAATGTCCTCAAGATTCATCCGTGTCAAATGTCCTTCCTTTTTGAGCTTGAATAATATTCCACATTGTGTGGATGGACTACATGTTGTTCATCTATTTATGTGTCTACGGACACTTGGGTTGCTTCCCCCTTTTGGTTACTGTGAATACTCTGCTATGAGTAAGGGTGTGCAAGTATCTTTCATGACATTTTGTGCAATTATCTTTCATGTCTCTGCTTTCAATTCTTTCAGATTGCTGGGTCTTATGGTAATTCTACGTTTAATTTTTTGGATGAATTGCTGTTTGGTTTTCCACAGCGGTGGTATCATTTTACATTCTCTTTTGAGTTTTGTTTTTTGCCCTTTAAAAATTCCTTCACTATTCTTTTAGCAGGAGTTCGAGATTGAATCCAAGTGAATGCAAGGGTTTGACCTGTCATCTTTATTTGGAAGCCCATAAGCACCACTGAGGCATGAATGTGTGAGCAGTAAGTGAAACCGCCGGGTCTGCAGTCTTGTAACATGCTCCTTTGCAGGGCACATGGAGGAGCTGCAGTATGTGTGTCCACCACCAAGCACCCCTGCAATGTCTGTGTGAGAGGCTGCCCAGGGAGACAAGCTGTGAAATCACCTGCTGGTGGCTAGCATAAAGGTGACCACATATGAGATGAAGCTAAGCTGGGTTCACCATGTTCTGGTTTGGTTCCTAAGGTTGGTGACCACATAGTAGACATCACACACATGCTAGCATATGAATTAAAGGCTTCTGAGGCTGTGGCCAGCAGTATGGTCCAGGGTGCAGTGCCCCACGTGGGAGCAGGCCCAGCTCTGCCCTCACCGCACTCCTGAGACAGGCTGCAGCTCCCTTTTCTGAGTGGAGGCTGCATCCCCCTGGGTCAACGAGGCCTCACTGATCAGCCAGCACCCACATGCTTGACAGGGGCCTGTGGGAGGGAGCACAAGGCCTCTCCTCTGGGCTCACTGCTGAGCAGAGCCTGTAGCAGACACCAGGAGTGGGTCTCACAGTTAGGAGGAAACCCCATGCCATAGAAGTAAGACCAGATCCCACAGCCCAGATGCAGGTCTCTGCCAGTGTGACCACAGACTCAGTCTCCCTGTGTGGGCTCAGACCACATGGCACTCTGAGACACCCCTGGCCTCACTCAGTCGTGGCTGCCTAGGCCAATTCGATTCCCTCTTACACGTCAGCCAAGATCTCACAGCATAGACTCCAGGACAAAGGCACACAAACTTCTGTACCAAGGGAAATGTCTTGCTGGGCCCCACATGAGGCCTGACGGTCAAACTCCCCGAGGAAGCCCTGGCAAGCAGGAGTGGCCCTGGAAGCCTCCGACCTCTATTCGTACACTGCTCACTCACCTTTTACCTCAGCAAGCACTCCCTAGGGACCCGGGGGCTGCATGCTGAGCAGTGGACACTTTTCCAAGCTTTCAACTAAAGGTAGTGACATTGTAAGGCCTCTGGAAGAGGCTAAGCTGAACCATGAGCCAGCGGGGTTCAATCTACTCCTGGAAAGGCCCAAGAAGATTGAGGCAAAGGCCGCCCACCAGCCTGTGAGGCTGCACATGCGGGGAGCCTCCTGGGGAGATCTGTCTGCTGTGTTCATGATTCTGCTTCAAAAACTGTGTGCCTGGCCTGGCCAGGCGTGGCTTAGCGGTTGAGCATCAATCTAGGATCCAGGAGATCAGGGTTCAATTCCTGCTCAGAGCACATGCCCAGGTTGCATGCAGGAGGCAGCCAATCAATGACGACTCTCTCATTGATGTTTCTCTCTCTCTCTGTCCCTCTCCCTTCCCTTCTCTGAAATCAATAAAGATTTTTTTTTTTAAATATGTGTTTATTGATTTCAGAGAGAGAAAGGGTGAGGGGGGGAGATAGAAACATCAATGATGAGAATCATTGATCAGCTGCCTCCTGCACGCCCCCAACTGGGAATCAAGCCTGCAACCTGGGCATGTGCCCTGACCGGGAACCGAACCTCGATCCCCTGGATCCTAGGTCGATGCTCAATCGCTGAGCCATGCCCCGCTGGGCAAGATATATTAAAAAAACAAAACCAAAAACTGTGCCTGGGTGAAGGTCTCATGGCTCCCAAGATCTGCTCCAGAACTGACATGCTCGATGGTACCTGCGCTCCATCCCCTTCACCTTCCCTGGACCCAGCACTGTCCTGCCCTGCAGCCCTGTCACTGTACACACACATGCCTGGGCCCCTACACCTGGGCCAGTGCACAGTCAGTCCTGCACAACAGGCTATGGCATGTCTGACCTGCAGAGCATGTGTGAGTGTGCACATGTGTGTCCAGATGCTATTTATAGCCCTGTCCCTGTGCTCACTCTGCCTGGCCTAGGACTCGGTCCAGCCACTTGGCTGGCAGCACCATGGCCCTGTGTCCTCACTTGAGCAGGCCAGGCTTGGGTCCAGATGAACCTGACATGTGGTCTTTGGGAGCCCAGGGGGGAAGCTGGCCCTACACTCAGGGGAGCTCAGGATCAGCTCAGCCTGCAGCACCCTAATGGCCTGCTGGTCTTGCCAGACTCAGTGCTGGCCAATACATGCTACGGTCACCATGCTCCTCCCTGCTCTCAGGAATCCTCCTCTAGGACCCCAGTTCTCCCCAGAAAAGACAGCCTGAGCCTGGCCAAGTTGGTCACCACTCTAAGCCAAAGGACAGCTGAAAGTGAATGTAGTAAGTGCACATGGGCCAACTGTGGCCTCCCTGCCCCCTTGTCAAGCAGGGCACCCGGCCATAGTGGCCTCAGAGCAGAGTGGACACCAGCTGGCTGAGACGTGGATGCCTGTTGGCCTGTTGCGGGGGAGCCTGAAGCTCTTCTCAGGGCCTCAGTGCTGAGGAGGAGCTCTGCAAGGACCCTGAGTCCCAGTGGAAACCCAGGTGTTTTCTTGGAGGTGCTGTGCCAACCCCACATACTTGCCGCCTCTGAGGTGCCGCCAAGCGCAGGCTAGGAAGCTCTCAGCTTGACCCTTACCTGGCTGGCGGCAGAGCCTAGGGTGCCAAGGGCCACATGCTGGGCCTTACCTTTGGTGTCGTTGACGGGGTCCATGTGCCGGTAGATGTAGCCCTCCAAGTAGGAGTGGAACTTAGGTGTGGGTGGGAAGAAGGCCAAGCAGATGGCCATGAGCTCCCAGCCGCGCGCCAGGCTCTCTAGGCGGAAGTTCTCCGTGGTCTGCCGGCACAGCTGGATGTACAGCTCGTCCCGCAGGCCCTGCACGCTCCAGCCCTTGGTGGCAATCTCCAGGGCCACATGTAGCGGGTCAGCCTTGGCACGCCGGTCACCCATGTACATCTGGATCAGCCTGAAGACCTCACAGGCTTCCTTCTTGACGTGCCGGTCACTGGTCACGATCATGGGTTTCTTGATGGATTCACTGCTCCAGGCCAGCATGTTGGCGATGGATACCTTCCGCCGGAAGAGGCCCTGCGTGTGCTTGTTGAAGTGTTTGGAGGCCCAGTTCTCGATGTCCGTCTCTGAGGACGGCTTGCGTAGAGTGAATGTGGGGAACACACAGCTGGCGCTGGGCATCACACTACGGGTCTGTCGGCTGCTCTCAAACTGGGCACAGGAGCCAAGGTCCTCAGACTGGGAAGGAGAGAGAGGCCATGAGGGGGTGGGGGTCCTATATGACCCAGCCAGGTGAGGCATGCCCTCCCCAACTCCTCTCATTGGTCCCAAGGTGCTGGGAGGGAGGGGCCACCAAATAACCTGCTGGCATGGGAGGCAGGGCAGCAACACTTGCAGGGTGTCCCCAGGGTGGGGCCAGGCCTGCACTTCCACCTTTCTGCCTCCTCAAGTTCTACTGGCCTCACAAAGATGGTGAGCATCCTCCCCATGCAAGGTTGCGCAGGGACAGAGGCCCTCCCTGCTCCTGAGACCAAGGGGTGGGGGGTGCCAGCACAGATCTGGGGGCGGGAGGAAACCTCTTCTTGTCTATCTTGTTGTTCTCCTGTGTTACGAGCCATAGACAGAAACATACTCTGAGCTCTCCAGCCACTAAGGTGGGGGACACTGACTGCCATGGGGATGCTGACTGCCCGTGGTCACTAGGTCCTCAGGCACAATTTCCCTGGTGAGGCTGGAGTTGGACGTGAGGAGCCTGACACTTGGAGGCCTTCTGACCAATGGCAGCTCTGAGCAGATGCCAGTGTAGACCCTCTGCCGTGGCTTCATGGAGCAGGTCAGGAAGTGAGAACCAGAACATCAGCCCCTACCAAGTTCTGAAGGGCCAAGTTCCTAGCATTCGACCTGGACAGAAGGTACATGTAGGCTCCTAGGGCCTGACATTGGCCTATGCCTGGTGCTTCCCCAGGAGGACACATCTGGCCAGGCCTCTGCTTCTGCCACAGCTGCAGCCCAAGGTCCTGAGGCCACTGGGGCCCCCGCTGAGTGCATCTGGCCCCAGGGTTGGTGTCAGCTCCCTGGTGTGGGAGCCTTGTTCGGGAAAGGCTCTGAGCCACCTGAAAAGTGCCTGACGCCCCACCTGCACGGTTCCTCACCTGACAGCCTGTTCACAGGCGGAAGAAGCTCAGGCTCAGTGGGTGGGCATGACTGCCCATCTCTGAATCCATGGTCTGAAATCAGGGCATGGCCTCTGGCCCCCAGGGGACTTGCCAGCACCTGGCTGGGCCTTACCAGAAACTGAGGTGAGGGAGCCCTGCCCTGGGGGAAGTCCTTGGGAGGTATCTGCTGTCTGTCCACATGGCCATCAGCAACAGTTAGTGCCACGCCACATCTGGGGAACACCCCTGCCCCAGCCCTGCCCTCCAGCTGCATGTCCGTACCTGTGAGGGGTGGAGGTAGGGCTCTGGTGAGGCCAAGTTGGTCTGCACAGAGACGCTTTTCTCGAGCAGGATCTGGGGAAAGGCGAGTCTCTCCAAGGCACCCCTCTGCCAGTGCTTGCTGCTCTCCTGCTGAGCCAAGGCCTCATCCTCGCTGAAGGCCCGCACCACAGGTCCGGGCATGGGGAGCGGCACAGCCCCATCACTCTCATAGCCTGAGCCGTCCTGCTGGGAGTCCCAGCTGCCCCTCTGCTTCATGTGGAAGTGGGCCTGCTGGGCCTCCCAGGCCAGCCGCACCTGCGCCAAGAAGGGCTCAGCCCCACCCTGCGCCCCGTCCGCCTCACCCGCCTTGGCCTCCATGTGCTTTGGGGCCAGGCTGGGCCCACACTTGGGCCGCTCCTCAGCCAGGGACTGCGGGAGCAGGTCCCCAGGGCTGTCGGTGGACAAGGCGCTGGGGGCATGGCAGAGAGAGGGGTTCCTGCTCTTTCTCTTGCGTGAGCCTGGGGAGTAGCCTGTCGAGGACATGGTGTCCTGCTGGCTGGACCAGGACATGGCATCGTCCTGGGCCTGGGGGAGCGGCGAGGGCGGAGGGGCATGCCGTAGCTCGGGCCCCTCCATGCTGCTGTAGTCCCCAGATGTGACCCCCAGGCGCTGGTCCCGCAGCAGGCTGGGGCTGGGCTGCAGGGACAGGGAGCCCCCTGCGGGGTTGGGAGTGTACTTGTGCCGAGGGCCTGACCGCAGCCTGGGGCTCGAGCTGGCCTGCTCCACATACACCAGCTGCCGCACATATTCCTTGCCTGCGGGGCTGTACTCCAGGCTTAGGAAGCGATCTGGGCACTTCTGCCGGGTGAGCACCAGCTGCTGGAAGGGCGAGGCAGAGGCCTGCTTGGGCGACTGTGGGAAGGGCACTGGCTTACGGCCTGGAGACCGCTGGGGTGAGCCACCCTGGCAGGCTCCACTGGCCTCATACTGCACATCCATGGGGGGCTCATCGTAGATGGGGGCTTGGTACTCGATGGGGGGCTCCTCATAGAGCGGGGGCTCATAAGCATAGCGTGGGGAGGAGGGCTGTGAGTCGCAGGCAGGCTTGCGGGGCTGGGCCAGCAGTGGGGAACAGCTCCCCAGCGCTGACCTCCTCAGGAAGGGCGAGGGCCTCCGCTCAGCGAAGAAGACAGAGCTGTCTATGTCGGGGGCAAAGGTCTGTAGGCTGGGTGCGTGCTGCCCACCCGAGGTTCTGCGGGTGTGGCCCCCAGGCTGGCTGTCCAGGAGGTACCCATTGCCCTGGGGGGAGAGGAAGCTGGGCTCCCGGTCAGCAACTTTGATGAGCATGCGCTCCTTGGTGCCTGAGTTCCACCGGAGGGAGGAGGTCCTGGGGGAGGGGACAGGCAGAGGTTACCTAGAGGAGCTCCTGGCAGGGCACAGGCCACCTGGTAGAGACAAAGTCTGGCCCTGCTGCCAGCCTGAGCCCATCACCCACGCTCCCTGCCCTCGTGTGTCTGGAGCCAGGGCTCAAAGGGCCTGGTCATTTCTCCGTCCTTTCCCCTTGCCGCGGGGGCTGTGGGTGCGGGACCTAGTACTCATAGGAAGGCTCCCTGTACATTCCCTGTCCACCCTTAACTGCTGGGGCCCTGAGGAGCTCCCCCACACACGTGACTCAGCCCTGTAGCCTTTCCCTCCAGGGGGGCTCTCCCGCCAGAGAGCTTCCCCCAGGCCCCGGACTGGACTGCTGGCCATCTTGACCCTCCCTGCAAGGGCCACAGGTGCCTCTGCTCTGGTCCCAGCCCAGCACCAGGCACAACACTCTGTACCAGAGAGCAAGGGCAGCCCTCCCAGAGGCCTCTCTGACTGTGGATGTGGTGAGCATGTTTCCCTGCAGGCCTCATGCCTGGGATCTGCATCACACTGGCACCTTGGACCTTGATTTCAACCACAGAGGCTCCTGTGAGCTACAAAAAGGCTGTGTCCTCCCGTAACTCTGCCGTCACAGGCAGCACTCTGCACCTGGATGGAGACACCAAATTGCTCCCAGTGCCTGCTAAACCCCGAATCCAACGAAGGGCACCCATAACCCCGGGGCCATGCTGGGCTTCTGAGCCTCACTTGCTCAGCGACAACACAGGCAACACTGCCCCTGGGACATGTCTGGAAGGTACTCACTCAGTGCCCACAAGTGCCCGAGGTCAGCATGGAGGAAGGTACTCACTCAGTGCTCTGCCTGCCCGAGGTCAGCATGGAGGCCGCTACAGGGGCTAGACCTGAAGTCCAGGAGAGACGGTGGGATCACCCCTCCGTCTCTCTCCCTTAAGCGACTCTGGGCTGTTTTTAGGAAAGCTGCACTTTCCAGACAACATATGATGTGGAGCATTTTTCATGTGCTTATTTGCCATCTCCACATCTTCTCAGGTGTCTGGCCCATTTTGAAATCTGGTCTTCTCATTGTTGAGTTTTAAGGTATTTTGGATAACTCCTTTATCAGATGTGTCTTTTGCAAATATTCTGTCTTATCTTCTTAAGTCTCTTCTCATTGTCTTTCATAAAGAACAAGCATTTAATTTTAACAAAGCCCACCCAGCTTATTGTTTCTTTCATGGATGGTGCCTTTGCTGCAGTATCTAAAAACTCACCCTTCGTCCGGCTGGCCATGGCTCAGTGGTTGAGCAATGACCAAGGACCCAGGAAATCACGGTTTGATTCCTGGTCAGGGCACATGCCCGGGTTGTGGGCTCAATTCCTAGTTAGGGGCGTGCAGGAGGCAGCCGATCAATGACCCTCATCATTGATGTTTCTATCTCTCTCTCTCTCCCTCTCCTTTCCTCTCTGAAATCAATAAAGATATATTTAAAAAAAAAAAAAAAAGAAGAGGCATAAAACCTGAACAGGCTGATAACAACTAATGAAATTGAAGCAGTAATCAAAAAACTCCCAGCAAACAAAAGTCTTGGACCAGATGGATTTATACAGGCGAGTTTTACCAAACATTCAAAGAATTAACACCTATTCTATTCAAACTATTCCAGAAAATTCAAGAGGAGGGAAAACTCCCAAACTCTTTTTATGAGGCCAGCATCATCCTAATCCCAAAACCAGATAAAGACACTACAAAGAAAAAAAATTGCAGGCCAATATCCCTGATGAACATAGATGCTAAAATCCTCAACAAAATACTAGCAAACCAAATCCAGCAAGACATTAAAAAAGATCACACATCACGACCAAGTGGGATTTATTCTGGGGATGCAAGGCTGGTACAACATCCGCAAATCAGTAAATGTGATACATCACATAAACAAAATGGACAAAAATCATATGATCATATCAATAGATGCAGAAAAAGCATTTGACAAAATCCAGCACCCATTTCTGATAAAAACTCTCAGCAAAGTGGGAATAGAGGATCATACCTCAACATAATAAAGGCCATATATGACAGACCTACAGCCAGCATCATACTCAATGGGCAAAAACTAAAACCATTTCCCTTAAAAACCGGAACAAGACAGGGATGTCCACTTTCACCACTCTTATTCAACATAGTTCTGGAAGTCCTCGCCATAGCCATCAGACAGGAAGAAAACATAAAAGGCATCCAAATTGGAAAGTAGGAAGTAAAACTGTCATTATTTGCAGATGACATGATATTGTACATAGAAAACCCTAAAGATTCCATAAAAATACTACTAGATTTAATAAAAGAATTTGGCAAGGTAGCTGGATAGAAAATCAACATCTGGAAATCAATGGCATTCTTATACACCAACAATGCACTTTCAGAGAAAGAAACTAAAAAAAAATAACACTTACCATTTCAACTAAAAAAATAAGTAACCTACAAATAAACTTAACCAAGGATGTAAAAGACCTATACTCAGAAAACTACAGGACACTGAAAAAAGAAATAGAGGAAGATTTAAACAAGTGGAAGAACATACCACGCTCATGGATTGGAAGAATTAATACCATTAAAATGTTCATACTTCCCAAAGCAATTTATAAATGCAGTGCAATTCCTATTAAAATACCAACAGCGTATTTCACAGACCTAGAACAAACATTTTGAAAATTTATATGGAACCAAAAAAGACCCTGAATAACTGCAGCCATTTTGAGAAAAAAAGAACAGAGTGGGCAGGATCACTGTGCCAGACATCAAACTGTACTACAAAGCCATTGTAATCAAAACGGCCTGGTATTGATATAACAACAGGCATATAGATCAATGGAATAGAACAGAGGCCCCAGAAATAGACCCACGCCATTATGGTCAGTTAGTATTTGACAAAGGAGGCAAGAGTATCCAATGGAGTAAGGACAGTCTCTTCAATAAGTGGTGCTGGGAAAATTGGACAGACACATGCAAAATGAAACTAGACCACCAACTTTCACCACACACAAAAATAAACTCAAAATGGATAAAAGACTTAAATGTAAGTCACGAAACCATAAAAATCCTGGAAGAAAACATAGGCAGTAAAGTCACAGACATCCCA